GCTTCAAGGTGCAGGAAGAATCATTCTTGACTATTTATGTATGCGGCGACAGCAGCGCAGATACTACAGTCAGACCTTGTGTTACGTTTGCTTCCGGTTGCGTGTTTTTAGGTTGCGTCCCACAGCGACCCGGAAGTAGCAGAAAGGGTCACTTCTGGGTTTTGCCACTCGCGCATGCGCAGACACACAAAATGACATAGTGCGCATGCGCACAAGCAGTGAATCACGACCCGCACAGACGCGGGTTGCATTCTTTTCAGGTTGCAAACGGGCCTCCGGAACGGATCCCGTTCGCAACCAGAGGTACCACTGTACTGGCCCAGAGATGGAAAGAAGACAAAGTTCCAACCAGAGAGGATGAAGATGATGGACTATGATGAAATGGCAAAACTTGACTGGGAAAATCAGAAACCAGGAAGAGAAGGATTTTAAGAAGGAATGGGGAAAAGTTATAATGTACTTAAGAGAACACTGTGAACAGCTAAGAACTTTGGCAAGATTTGAGTCATGCTTGTAATGTGCGAAAAACTATGGAAAATTCATTCTTCTTCTTTTAACAAATTAGAGAAAATAAGATAAGCAGATGTTGGGGGGGGGGAGAGATTGACAATGGTAACCCTGGAAGGGTGAAAGGAAGTCAAGGGATTCAGAGAATCCTAAATGAGGAGGTGTGTTTGAATTTAAATTTGTTATGTAAAGCTTAATAAAAATATATTTAAATAAGAAAAGAAGAAATAAATAAAAATCATCCTCTCACAGAATTGTAGAAGTGTAGAGTTGGAAGGGAACCCAGGGGTCATCCAGTCCAGCCCCTCTGCAATGCAGGAATCACTGCTTATTGCAGATTGCTTCCAGGCCTCCAACTGTAATTGGACAACTTGAATTTGAGGGTATGTGATGGAATCCCAATAGAAAAGAGTGAGAGTCTGTGGGAGCCCAGAATTACAAAATAGGGGCTGTATGTGTTGAAGAGGTGGGCTTGGTTCTCTGATGAGCTCAGGAGTCTTTGTATTGGCAGGGCTGGGAGAGCAACTGCTCTGCTTGCACAAGGTGTCAGGATCAATCCCTGAGTGTCCCCAACTAGCGTTACCAAGAAAGACTTGCTGCCTGAAACCCTGGAGAGCTGCTCACAATCAGTGTGGATAATAATAATAATAATAATAATAATAATTTATTTATACCCCTCCCCCGGTTCAAAAACCGGGCGCAGGACGGCTAACAACAATTTTAAAACACTTAATTGGAAAAGCAGCATAAAATACAGCATAAAAACATGAATAACAATAAAATTCAAAAATAAAAATCAATTAGATAATCCCCAGGGCTAGCTGGCTGAATTGGTCCTACTTGGGCCAGCGAGGAGGCCAGGGGAGAATTAGCTGTGGGGTCTCAGAGCTGGTGATCTTCATAAAAGGGGAGGGAAGGGAAATAAAAGATCAGGCTGAATTAAAATTAAAGGCCAGGTGGAATAGCTCTTTTCAAAGAGAGCCAGATTTGACAAAGTGAACATGTGTGAGGGCCGAACAAAATTGTTGTACTTTTTTTAGGATTGAAGTTTGAAGGATTTTACCCCAGGACTTATACTGCCACGGGGGCCGGATTAAATTGACCGGCAGGCTGGATTAGGCCCCTGAAACAGACTTTGGACATGCCTGCAATAGTGATTCATGGCAGGCAGCAGCTTTGGACGCCCACCCTTGATGCCTTGGGTCTGCGGTCAAGATGGACGGATGGCCAGGAAGACCCCATGGCTGCTGTGGTCCCATTCTCGCCTTCTGTGGACCCAGAGCTGGAATTTGCCAGGAGAGAGGATGAAGAAATCTGGAAGGTGGTTCTGCCTGCAGAACATGGGGTGCTCCTGTGCTGCAGGCTCTGGAAGGAGCCTGCTGCCCTCTAGAGGGGAGAAACGCACAGAATTTCCCGCACATAACTGGAATACTGCAGTCCAAAGCAGTGTCTGTGCGGGAAATCAGCTAAATGTCCCAGAAAATCCAGGCGTCTGGCAGCCGATGTCGCCAGTGCCATTTCCTACAACGTTTCTGTCCGGATTTCCACTTTTTCAAATACAGCATCCCTAAGGTCAAGACCAGGGACGCGGGTGGGGCTGTGGGTTAAACCATAGAGCCTAGGACTTGCCGATCAGAAGGTCGGCAGTTCGAATCCCCGCAATGGGGTGAGCTCCTGTTGCTCTGTCCCTGCTCCTGCCCACCTAGCAGTTCGAAAGCACGTCAAAGTGCAAGTAGATAAATAGGTACCGCTCCGGCGGGAAGGTAAACGGCGTTTCCATGCGCTGCTCTGGTTCGCCAGAAGCGGCTTAGTCACACTGGCCACAGGACCCGGAAGCTGTACGCCGGCTCCCTCGGCCAATAAAGCGAGATGAGCGCCGCAACCCCAGAGTCGCTCGCGACTGGACCTAATGGTCAGGGGTCCCTTTACCTTTACCTAAGGTCAGGACCAGCTCTGCAATGAGGCAGCCGACTCAGGCTGCAAATACTGAGGGACCGGGGGTGGACAGAGCTGCGAGTGCCATGGAGGCTGCCTTGTACCTGCAATGGCCCTCAAGTGCCCTGGAAAACACTGACTAGAGTAAGCTTCCATGGTTTCAGCCTATTACATCAGTGCTGGCCCAATAGAACTGGCTGCTAGTCCTGGTCCAATTTAAAGGGCTGGTTTTGAGCTATAAAGCCTGAAACAGCTCAGGACCATAATGTTCCAGGACTGCCTCTCCCCACAGGAACTGACCCAGACTCTGCGTTCCTCATCAAAAGCCTTTCTTCATGGTGGCAACACAAGAACAGGGCCTTTTCTGCAGTGGCTCCCTGTTTGTGGAATGCTCTTCCTTTGACCTTTTTAATGTGTTCGGAGAGGGGATTTGATTATTATTATTATTATTATTATTAGTAATTGTGTTTTCTGTGATCCTTGGATGAAAGGGGGTATATAAATTACACAAATCATCATCATCATCAGCTCAATTTGCTTCTGTGTGTGCTGCCGGGAGGGAAGGGGTCATCTTGTCCTTTGCCTCAGACAGCGAAATATCTTGCGCACAAACTCACAAACTTTGCTCCTGCAGGACTTGTGTGTTCCATCAGGGGAACGAGCCAATAACTGCTGTGCAGGGTGTGGTGTAGCAGTTAATAATAATAATAATAATAATAATAATAATAATAATTTATTATTTATACTCCACCCATCTGGCTGGGTTTCCCCAGCCACTCTGGGCAACTTCCAGCAAAATATTAAAATACAATAATTAGACTAGGACCTTGGAGAGACCAGGGTTTGAATCCCCACTGACTCATGAAGCTCACTGAGTGACCTCGGTGGCCAGCCACTGCCTCTCAGCCTATCCTGCCTCACAGGGTTGTTGAAATGAGCTCTTTGGGAGAGAAAAAGGTGGGAAATAATGTGAATGCAATGCAGACAGGCAGAGACCTTCTTATTGCAACAGGCTTTGGGGACTTCTGACTGTCTCTCCTTGAACGAACTGACTTGTCATCCAAGTCCCTTCTCTGTGTCCCCCTCCTCAAGAGGTTTGGAGCATGACAACACAAGAACGGGCCTTTTCTGTGGTGGCTCCCAGCTGTAGAATGCTGTCCTCAGAGAGGTTTACCCGGTGCCTTCCTTTCATATCTTTATTGCCAGATGAAACCATTCATAGAATCATAGGATCTTAGAGTTGGAAGGGACCCAAAGGTCATCTAATCTCAGCTAATGTCTTTAATGGTTGGACAGTGTTCTCGAAGCGACCAGCATGAGTTTGACCAAACTGCGGGAGGCAGTGGAAGACAGGAGTGCCTGGCGTGCTCTGATCCAGGGGGTCACGAAGAGTCGGACACGACTAAATGACTAAACAACAACAGGGCCTTTCAAATGTGTGTTATTATGACTTTTTCTGTGATTGTTTTACAGTGGACGCTTGGGTTACGAACGTGATTCGTGCGGGATGCACGTTCGCAACGCATGTCTGCGCGTCTGTGCACACGCAGGTTGTGATTCGGCGCTTCTGCGCATGCACATAGCGTGATTTAGAGCTTCTGCACATGCGCGACTGCTGAAACCCAGAAGTAACCCGTTCCGGTACTTCCGGTTTTCAGCGGTCCATAACCTGAAAAAATGCAACTTGAAGCAACTGTAACCGGAGGTATGACTGTATTGTGTGTGTTTTTTAATTATGCTATGTAAATTATGTTTTTAATGTGCACTGCCCTGGGATCTTCAGATGACGGGTGGCATATAATCTGAATAAACAATAACAGTAATGATTATAACAATGCACAAACATCTATATTTTTAGCTGTTCTTATTTTATTTGTAAGCTGCCTTGAGTCCCTATCAATGAAAAGGTAGGCTATAAATGTTGAGGGTTATTTTCCTCTTCCCTCCTTGTTCCTTTTTCTTTGTGTGTTCTATTTATCAGATGTCAAGGAAATCAACAACTATCTGACTTTTAGAATACATCTGAAGGCAGCCCTCTTTAGGGAAGCTTTTAATGTTTAATAGACTATTGTATTTTGATATTCTGTTGGGAGCCGCCCAGAGTGGCTGGGGAAACCCAACCAGATGGGTGGAGTATAAATAATAACATTATTTTTTATGTATGTAGGGAGGGAGGGGGGCCTGCAGGTAGGGGACATATTGTTTTGAATTCAAGTAAGCCACTCTGGGAGATTATTTTTTTGGGGGCTGAATAGCGGGTACAAATCTGAATAAAATAAAGAAACGCAAGCAGGACACCCCCCACCCCTCCATTGGTGCAGTCCGAGCGGAGCTTCGCCACTTGAAGCTGCAAAGAGGCCGCGCTCTCCCTTTTCGCCGCCGCTAGAGGCCGCTGCCGGGCAAGCCGCGCGCCGGGCGGCCAACCGCGGCGCTCCATTGGCTGCCGGGGGAAGAGTGGGCGGGGCCGCGTAGCTCCGCCTCCTCCTGCTAGGTAGCCGGAACGACGAGGAAGAGACCAATAAGAAGGGCGGGAAAGGGGGGGAGGGCGGCGAGCGCGTTCGTGGGAGATACCACTTGGGGACGCGGGAAGAGAGCGTGAGTGAGTGAGGAGCGCAGGCGCGGGCGCGCGGCAGGAGGGGAAAGAGACAGTTCGTGGGAGAGTCCATTGCGGCGCCGGCGGCGGGGGGCGGCGTGCTGAGGAGAGACCAATTGGGGGACGGGGGGGGGAGAAGCGAGGGCCGGCCGCCCCAGTGCCTTGTGCCTGAGAGAGGAGAGCAGCCCTCGTGGGGCTATTTGGGAGCCCAGGAAGGCCCTTGGGGGGGCGGAGGGGGTGTTTGAGGGGGGTCAGGGTGTGTGTGAGGGGGGGGTCAGCTTGTGGGGGGGCATATTTGGGGGGGCGTTGTGTGGGGGAGGGGCCTGCACCTGAGGAGAAGAAGAGGAAGACCCACCCGCGTGTGTGTCCCGTTGCGTGGGGGACACTGTGTGTGTGGGGGGGGGAGTGGGCGTCATCCAGGAGCTCTTACCTGAGGCTGCTGCACCTGTGGGCAGGTGAGGCCTCCCTCCTCCGCTCCCTGCTTCCCTCCCTCCTGGCCCAGCAAGGAAAAGCTCCTCCTGCTCTGGAAGAAGGAAGCCAGCCAGATCCTGGGACTGCCATCAGGCTCCTGCTCGTGTGAAAGGCGCCCCAGGGACCCGCTTCTCGGCGGGGTGGGGGGCTTGCTTCTGGCCTGACGGAGGTCCCTCCTGCGGAAAAGCCACCAGGTGCCTCGAGAAGATCCGTGGCCGGACTTGCTGGGTCGCCTTCCCCGAGAGCTTAGCAGGATTTTAAAAAAAAAACCCCAAAAAACCAGACACGCAGAATCTTTCGACCTGACGAAGCTTTTTATTTCTTGCTTTATTTTCAGCATTTGACACACAGCCTGGCCTGGGGGGGAGACTCTTCTGGACAGCTGGGGAGAAGGGAAGGAAGTGGCCCAGGATACTCTGAAAAGGGATTTCAGGGAGTGATTTTGTGGAGCAGAGAGAGACAGAAAAAAACAGACAGACAGACAGAGAGAAATATCGCTTTGAAAGTTGCGCAGAAGCCAAAGTTTAAATGGATTAAATGGTTTGGCGGCCTTCGGTTGGCGGAGTGAAATCCAGGGGACGCCAAGCCGGGAAGGTCTGATCCAGGTGGTCGCAAGGCTGCTGTTTCTTGCCCCTGAAAAGAGCGCAGGAGTCTGATGAGAGCGGGTAGCTGATCTCCAGACGTTTTCCTTTCCTTTGGTTCTGAGGAAGTTTTCTTTTTGATAGGACAAAAGGGGGCAACTTCTGCAACAGGACCCCCATTTCCTTAATCTTTTATCTGGCTGACGTGTTCCTCTTCCACGTTTTCTACATGCTGCGTGGTGGTGTTGCTCTGAATTCACCTGCATGTGCCTCTTTGCAGAGAGATTTCCTGGGTTCTGTTAAAAGTAAATGCTTGCTAGGCTTTTAGCAGTCAGACTGAGACTCCTGCGGTGTGAGGACTGAAAATCTATCTTGGCAAATAATGTGTGTGTGTGTTTAGAATCTGTTACAGTTCTATTATACCAGGCATAATCTGGTCTCCTCTAGTTCAGAATCCGCTAAACTGTTCTAAACCTGCTGGCAGTTTTGGGGATGTGCTTGGATTACTACTTCATTGGCTGGGTTGCTTCAGCAGCCTAGTACATAATTTGCGAAAGAAAGCAGCCAAGCCCAGATAATATTTTTACTAATTTCCCAGTTATGTTGCATGTTGAAAACGGATGCTTTTAAGTGTTTAGGATTTGTATGACACCCCCACTTAGAGGTAAGACGAGCCTTTCAGCGCCTGTTCTGCGGATATAGAAAAGGTTTTGGGAGGCTGTTGGATCTGGGGCAGAATTTCGAGCTGTGTTCAGCGGCTAGGGGAAAAACTCCTTAAAGCCTTTCCAACCTTTACTTCTGCAGCTTTTGGAAACAACCTGGCTCTACTTCTGGGCTAGTGGACACTTCCTGTACTCTTTTGGAATATAAGAATCCAAGGACAGAAAGAAACAGGACTCGGAGTATCCCTGGGAATCTGGGCTTCTTTTTCTGTTGGGAACTGATGCCGAGGAACTCCTGACACACGAGAAACACTGAAGCACTGCCAGACACAACATGGATGTATGGTCCAGAATAGCCATATGGATCCTTTGCGGCTTCCTTCTGCACCATGGACAGGGGGAGAGGCCCCCAGGCACCTACTTAGACGATGCCACAATAGCAGGTAAGGAAAAAGTTGTGGGTAAGGAGCCGGTTTTGCCTTTTCTTAATCCTTTGGGGTATAAAATAATGTTCCTTCGGGCTGCTGGCAGTGGGCTCTTTTCATCCCTGGGACTGTGCTTTGAAGTTGAAGTTGTGAATTGTTCTTCCCTTCTTGGAGGTTCGGAAAAGAAACTTGTAAAGTATTTTGGAGCTCCCTTCTCGCCAACCTGCGTTCTGGTGTCTGCTGAAATCCTAGCTATTTTTGGTGGTCTTATACTGGTGTTTTTTTTCTAGCGTGCCTGAGAGTTTCCCCTCCCCAACTCTGCAATGGTTCTTTCTGTAGGCAATTTCAGGCTAGGAAACAAAAAACACTACGCATCTTGAAATAGCCTCCCAGAAAGGCAGCTAGCTTGAAGTAAAAGTGGTTATTTCCTGCTTTACATAGAGGAGAGTGAAAAAAGAGCAGCTTTTTTGTGGAAGAAGTGTGCTTTCTATCTGAAACCTGCTGATTTTTTTTCAGAAGGAAGATTTGACTGTTTCAGGCTTGAGGTTTAGCTGTTGAGTGTCAACTGTCCTCTTTCTGTTGAGCTAAAGAATGTGACTGTAGGTGCAAACAGTGCACTCTTATCAGGCATTGGGTAAAACAGAAAAGTATTTAGAACACATCTGCTGTATCTTATCTGAGCTTCAGAATATAGTAAAGGAGAATACACTGTTCCCTGCTTGTTTGTGGTGTCGGAGCATTCCTAAAGATCTAGGGAAGCCCCATGCAGGAGATTGATTTGCGAAGTGATGGCCAGGATGCACCATTGCCAGTTTCTCATGTTGAAACTTCCCATAACTGCATCACAGGTCTTTAAAATAGCTGCATGTCAGCATAACCTTAACTAACGTAGGTTTATCCAGTGGCTTGGCAGAGGGAGAGAAAGGGGGGGAGAGGGGGGAGGTTGTAAGAGTGTCAGAGTTGGAATCTTTGCACACCAGTTTCTAAGTGGTTTTTCTTGTTGGAATTCCCAAGAGGAGTGGGGAATGTCTTGTTGACCTTTGATTGAGGAGACCCTGAGTTTCTCTCTCCTCAGTTGACAATAGCACAAATAAGTGTTGAGGAAGAGGCAGCCTGTTGCCATTTCCTGAGCACTGGACTGTGGAATTCACTGCCACAAGGAATAGATACTGTTTATGGAGAGGAGGGTGACAGTTCTAGCATTCACTGTTAGACTTCGTATAAAAGAGGAATGAAAACTAGATGCTGGCAAACAAATGACAGGTTGAGATTATCACGCTACATAGGGACGCGGGTGGCGCTGTGGGTAAAAGCCTCGGCGCCTAGGGCTTGCCGATCGAAAGGTCGGTGGTTCGAATCCCCGCGGCGGGGTGCGCTCCCGTTGCTTGGTCCCAGCGCCTGCCAACCTAGCAGTTCGAAAGCACTCCCGGGTGCAAGTAGATAAATAGGGACCGCTTACTAGCGGGAAGGTAAACGGTGTTTCCGTGTGCGGCTCTGGCTCACCAGAGCAGCGATGTCACGCTGGCCACGTGACCCGGAAGTGTCTGCGGACAGCGCTGGCTCCCGGCCTCTAGAGTGAGATGGGCGCACAACCCTAGAGTCTGGCAAGACTGGCCCGTACAGGCAGGGGTACCTTTACCTTTACCTAGTAATCTACATGTGAGCGCATGATCCAGTGTGGCAGTTCTTATGGTGCGTTGCACATGTTGCCAGTACCGAACCCCACTTGCATCCTGTATTACTGCCACAGAGAGGTGAGCAGTTATTTTTACATAACATGACTTCCACTGGGTGTGGGCAAATATTAGCGAACCAGCAGCAGTAATTTCCTTGGCATTTCTAAGGCTTCCCAGCGGCAACCACATTTCTGGAAACACTAGTTTTTCAGTATGAAAACCCTTAGCGGCTGGTTCTTCTAGTAGTGTCTGCGGGCCTTACTGGCAAACCGAAACTCCTTTATCTCAGGTGCCAGAACTTTAAACGAGCTGGGAAGCCAAAGTCTTCAGCCACAGCCACATAAAAAAACTTGTTAGTCCTATTCTGTGCAGAACATGCCTGGCTTAATTTGGTTTCAAAGTTTTCCTGCTTGCCAAATTTGGACTTTTGCAGGCGTTTGCTTGTTGAAAGTGACAGCTGTTGCATGGAGAAGCAGATGTGGAGAGGTGCTGGAGGGCTTATGTAGGAAGGATGTTCTCTCTTGACCAATGGATATCTCAAGCAACTTCCTTCTTGGGGTGCTAAACACTCAGCAGAAATACAATTTGTTTCTGATGATTTTTCTGTGAGGACTAGAGAGCTAAATAGCATGTGTAGTTTTTAGAGCAGAGCTTTCCAAACTGTGTGTCACAGCACGTTAGTGTGTCATCGTGCGAACACTCCCCACGCCCCTCCCAGGGCTGGAAAGGGGTTAGCTTAACCTCTGGTTTGCTAGTAAAACTGAATTGCTGTGTCACGAAATGATGCATGTAATAATAATAATAATAATAATAATAATAATAATAATATATTATTTATACCCCGCCCATCTGGCTGGGCCTCCCCAGCCACTCTGGGCAGCTTCCAAGAAATATTAAAATACTGTAATATATCTAACATTAAAAGCCTCCCTAAACAGGGCTGCCTTCAGATGTCTTCTAAAAGTCAGGTAGTTGTTTATCTCTTTGACATCTGGTGGGAGGGCGTTCCACAGGGAGGGCGCTACTACTGAGAAGGCCCTCTGCCTGGTTCTCAAAAGTGTCTCACAAGTGTGTCACCAGCATGAAAAGTTCGGTAAGCTCTGGGTTAGAGTGTTTGGACCAAAACCTGAGAGATCAGGGCTCAAATCCCCCTCTCAGCCATGAAGCTCACTGGGTGTGGGTGACCTGGGGCCAGTCACTGCCTCTCAGCATAGCTACCTCACAGGATTGTTGTGGGGATTCAGGGAGAACCATGTACACCACCTTGAGCGCCTTGGAGAAAAATGTGGGCTATAATACAGTGCGGGTTTGCAGCGATCAGCCTGCCAGTTGATGTGCGATAAAGGCTGACTTCCTTTCCTAACCATGTGCAGATCTGGTCATGTGTCCTTCCCCTTCCGAGTCTTGTTGTGTCTCACTTAGCTCATCTCTCGTGTCGGAAAAGGACCTGCAGGAGCAGTGATGAATTTCAGCTCGACGGGATAATCGCTTTTTTACAGCTGGCCATAAACCTGTTGCTTGGGCTTCTGATACTTAGCCTGACAGCCAGTTCCCACACCTGCTTCTTTACCCTGCGCCAGGTCAAATGTTTATCCAGCATGTTTTAAAATAATTACAATTGTCAGGACTGTGGCCTCGCTTGGCAACTTGTAACGCTCAGGCTATCAAAATTACTCAATGTCCCCATTGCCCTCTCATTGTCAATACCTGCTGTGAGAGGCCAGCAGGAAGGAGGTTGTGTTCAGCTGTTGCCCTTTTCAGGTGCATAAAGAACTGCCAGTCTGGTTACCCATGCCTCCTCTAAGCTGAAAACACCTATTTTTTTCTCCTTCTCCTTCTCCTTCTCCTTCTGTTGTTTACTATCCTCTTCATCTTGTGTGGATTTCCTTGGGCTTTTCAGTATTGAAAGTAAATTCTGAAGCCCTGAAGTTAACGCAAGTTGGGCAGACTCCAGGGCAGAAGCAGAATAAGCAGAATAGGCCTGTTAGGTGCTTCCTAGTGGGCTTGCACTTGCTTGAACAGACTGTCACGGACATGCATCTATATCTGCTCAGTGTTTAGAATCACAGGAGGTATGCATACTGCCTGGAGTATCCATTGCTCGAGGGAGGCCTTCAGTGGACGTTGCAGGGACACTGCATGTGGAGACATGGTGAGAGTTCCTGAAGAAGCTGTTCCTCAAAAAGTGCCGTGCTACCCGTGCTTGTTCTTTTGAGGATAGAAAAACTTTTTGTGGCAAGATGCAGCTTCATTATATATCTCCAGAGGGTTGCATAACATTTAACCAGTTTTTTACTTGGTGCAAAGCCTCCCCCCCCCTTATTCAATTGGTGAATAAAAATACTGTAGGCCTTACTGCTTTTGTGAAAATCTCTTTGACTAATTCTGTGCCACCTTCAGGTTGCAGCAGAGTCTAAAAGAGTACGCTATGGCATAATAAATATTTCCGTACCACATTGGAGACATCTAAGCAGCTAAATTTGGCAAATTTGGCAACGCTTTCAAAAGGCCTGCCTGTAGCTGCACTTGTGCCTGCTGGCTTACTCTGAGTCATGTTGTGGGGCTTGTGACGCAACAGGTGGGCTCTGCATGAGGAAGTGGTTAGAGTATCTTGATGCTGGCACTGAAGGACCCGGACTTTCCCTCCATCCTGTGCAGGGCTGTTTCCTTGGAAGTTGATGCTGGGTTTTAAAAGCATGATGCCCTGAAGTCGGGATTTTTCCAGCCTTTAGCCATGTATATTTTTCCAGCCTTTAGCCATGGCAGGCAGGGAAGCTGCAGTGAACAGGAAGAGTCCAGACTCTCTGCCTTGCTCAGCTTTTCGCAGTGACTACAGACTCTCAACCCCGTTCCTGCTGTGATGCTCCTTTGAACAGAAGCTGCAGCAGCAGTTGCTGGAGGTCAAAAGAGTCATGCTTCCCGCTCATCTTCTTAAGCTCAGCAGCATCAGCTCAGAAAGTGATTTTGAGTTAACTTCTCACTGCCCCCACTCAGCCCCAGAAATCATCATCAGGCCATACTGAAAGTCATCTATTGCTTCTGGAGAAGAGAAGATTCATTCTCTGTGTGCCCCAAAGGGATAACTCCTGTGAGTTATCCTGAAAAGGGCTGCAACAGCTCTGTGGAAGTCGTAGACATTGAAGTAGCAGTGATACTACTGCTCTTTTTCCTTTATAAGAACTATATTGAACTCTAGGCAGAGCTTTAAAAGACCTGAAAGTTTTCTTGTTCGCCCCCTAACTTGAGTAGGATTCTTTGAATCTTAGACTGCCAATAGCTCAATTCTTTAAAATAGAAGAAAGGTCAGGTCAGCACCTTGAATTGAGCCTGGAAGCAAATTGG